CTGCCTCAGCCTCCCAGAGTGCTGAGATCGCAGGTGTTTGTCCCAGTGCCTGGCTTCTGTTTTAGTACTTTGCACAGCACTGTCCTTGTGCACGGGTCACAGTCCTGCCCTCAGTGTCCTCCCTGCCCCCACCTTCTCCAGCTCCTGGACCTCTCTGAGGATCCGCAAGTCTCCATGGGAATATGTACGGAGAACCTAAAGAAACACAGGCCAGTGAAAGAGAGTTACTTAACTCCTAACAACGTGAAAGCCAGGATTGGACTGAGGATTCCTCAGATGCAACACAGACTGGACCAAGAGTGAGGACAAGACTGAACCTGTGCAGGCTCCGTATGCAGGGTTGAGCAGAACCAGGTTCAAGGCTCAGCTTGCCCATCTCAGGCAAATCCTCCTCCCTCTTCTCCAAGCCTTGGTGTGCGTGATCATTGATGGGGAGCAAAATACAAGGTACTGCGTGAGTCAGCTTTCCATTATTATGACAAAACATCTGACTCTAACCACTTTATAAAGAGGGAAGGTTTATTTTAGCTCATGGTTTTGGAGGTTCTAGTCCATAGTGATTTGGTCCACTGGAGTGTGTGGTGGAACAAAAAGGCTCCCCTTATTACCAGGAATAGAAAAAAGAGAGGGGGAAGGAAAGAGGATCCTGGGATTGAATAACCCTCAGGCCACGCCCCAATGACCTAAAGTCCTCCCTCCGGGCCCTACTTCTTCAGGGTCCTGTCACCTCAGTAGCACCATCCTGAGGGACAGATCTTTAGCACATGGGCCTTTGGTTGATGCTTAAGATCCAAACTGCAGCAGGTACCTGGAACTGAGCTTAACGAGGATGACACAAGTGACACTCTGGGATGTCCAGCCCGGGCATAGGTGTGGCCAGATGAAGACGCGCTGGCTTCATCTATGCGTGCCCTGCGGTATCCAGACAGCCTGTTGGGGCCAAACCGGGGTCTGGGTAAAGTCTCCCCCAGGCCTGGGCAGAGCCCACCCTGGCCTCAGCAGGGCCTGGATCAGAGGGAGGTGGTGGTGCTCCCGCCTCACCTGGAACAGGCTCCTCTGTTTCAACACCATAAACTGCAAAGGCGACAAAGCCCTTTCTGTATTTGCAAGAGATACAGTTTGCAAATGAGCTCATTACTCCCACAGCCGTGAGTGGAGTTGCGTCGGGCCTTTCTAACAAGTGGCAGTAAAACATTTTATAGGTCCCTCCGCCCCTCCTCTCCCCCCGCCGTGTAATTTTCTCTGTTTGGGATTGGACTGGGTGTTTTCCCTCTTTCCCTTCTCTTTCTCCTTGCACTTTCTCTCATGTTAATTATATTAGTTGCCATGGAAACAGTGATGTCATTGGCACGGGTGCACTCAATGACATCCAAAAGCACAGTTTATAGCATGGCTTGCAATGTATTCCATGGCTCGCAGCCTTGATGGGAGTTCTGTGGCGATTATATCTCGGGCACCATCTGGGCACAAGGGTGGCGGTGGCAGGAAGGTGGCTGTGCGGCGGGTGCGGGCTTCCCAGAACGCTTACATTCGCAGACGCCTTGGCTACCAGAGAACCCTCCCTGCTTTTCCCACCGGCACTCGCTCCCCGGATGCACCACGCGCCACATTTGTTCTGATTTGAGGTTTCTGAGTCCCGAGGTCAGAGGGTACTTGAAGGCGGTGGACCCCGGGGTGGCTGTGCACATACATGTGCCAGTGCCGCTGTCAGCGGGAAGATGCGACCCCCCACCCCCCGCAGGCTTCGCGCACGCGTGCGCACACAGCTTGCCCATCTGGCCTCCATCTCCGAAGGTGTGGTTGCGTTCACACTAGCGATTTGTGCCATCTCTGAATCCTCCTCGCTGCGGCTCCAACGGCGGGGTATGGGCAGAGCTGGGCACGGAGATAGAGAAGGCGCGGTGGAAATTGGGGTGCCCCGTACCTCCTGGGTAGCGAGACGCGGGTGCGAGGCCCATGAGCTCACCCCAGGCCGGTAGATGTGGCACCCGGCAGAGAGGGCCCGAGGCTCAGCGGTGCCCTTCTCCCCGGGGACCTGCTGGTGCATTTCGGTTCCCGGTGTCACCCTGAGCGAGTCAGCATGCGCTGATCACCTAACACCCAGCCCACAGGGGCGTCTGTGACCGAGGTCAGGAGGACCCCAGGCTTTTGGGCAGGTGGGCTTGCAAGAGCTAGGCAGAAGGTACTCTGGATAGAGGCCACTGGCATGGGGCTCAGGGGTTGTGACACAGAGGGACACAAAGCTAAATCCAAACAGCTTCATTGAAATGTTATTGGCCCCAGGAGTGGGAGGGCCAAGGCAGAACAAATAGTCAAATAGTGACCCCTGGGTCTCCTGCCCCCTTCTGTCTCCTATGGTTTTTATTTTGTTTTTGAGTCAGGGGCCCCTCTCAGTCTCTAAGTTACCCAGGCTGGGCTCAAAGCTGTGATCCCCCTGCCTCAGCCTCCCAAAGGGCTGGGATTACAGGTGTGCACCTCCTCAGAAGTTCTGCCTAGGTTTTGATTCCCCTGGTGTACTTGATTTACCTTTAAAGCCCAGCTGTTCCAAAACATCACTGGGCCACGTTGAATCAGGTGCCCAACCATGAGCCAGTTACTGTGAAGGGGTGTGGGTTCCTCTGATTGGCCAGGCCTGAGTCACATGGCTGCCCTGCAGGCAGTATAAGAGGGCAGCTCAGGGCTTGGGTTGAGAGGAAGGGAGTAGGAACGAAGGCGACCAGGCAGAACCAGGACTGGCCAGGTCAGCCTCTAGGCTTCTTTCTACCCACCCAAGTTTCAGCAGCTACTGAACCCCAACACTGTGGGACTCAGCCCCAAACTCCCAGCCAGCTGGGGAGCCTTTGCAGAACTGAACAGGACAGGAGCTCTGGGCGGAGGAGACCCAGGGCTCTGCAGGTTCCAAGGACAGTCTTGGAGAGCCTGTCAGAGCAGAACTAAGTTCAGTGGAGGAGGACACTGGGGACAGGTGGAGGAAGGGGGTGAGGGAGGGCCAGGCAGTGGGAGGGCAGGTGCCAAAGCAGGGACGCAGGAAAAGGTGTGACGTGGGGACATAAGGACCCTCGGGTGCTGGTGTGATAACACCAATAACAAACGTCTTAGCACTCAGTAAGCTGCTTTGTCTTGCTCAGTCTCACGATATGCCCGAGAGCTGCCGGCATGAGGGAACTTACAGAGATAGATGTTTGCTGTGATATTAATAGTAACAATAATGGGGAACCCTGGGGGGATTTTAGCAATGGACAGACTAACAGGGAAGCCAGGCCAGGCGTCGTGGTGCATGCCTGTAATCCCAGCACTCTGGAGGCTGAGGCAGGAGGATCGCTGTGAGTTTGAGACCAGCCTGGGCTACATAGTGAGTTCCAGGTCAGTCTCAACTACATAGTGACACCCTGTCTAAAATAAAACCCCCCAAAATTTTAAAAAGTAAAAAAAAAGAGTAACAGGGAGGACTCTTGATGTAAGGAAAAACAGAGATAGTTGAGACCAGTGGTCACCATCCCGCAGGGGACATTCGGTTGTGTCTGGAGACGTGCATTGTCAGGGTGGCAGGGAGGCGCCCTTGCTGCTTGAATCTAATGGACAGGGGACAGGGATGCCGCTAGAGGTGCACAGCACTCAGGAAAGCCCGCAGCCGTCATCCTGCCCAAATGGCAGTACAAGAACTGTCGCAGAGCATAACGTGGGCTGGCAAAAGGAGACCTTGGGCAAGGCCGGGCAGTGGCCTTGGGGTGCCAGAGACTGGAGGAGCCTCCCCCCAACCTGCCTGACCTGCAGGTAAGCAGCCCCCCTCCCCCCTGCAGTGTGGTGGGCGTGGACGGGGCTGTCAGGGCGTGGTACGCATTTCCAGGAGGTCTGCCTAGGACGGCGGCCACCTCCCCGGCTTCGGGAACAGAGGCCCCATAGGTCCCTTGAGTGGGTGCAGATGTCCCGTATCGGCCTAGGCTTGCCTCCTGGCACCTCCACACTGGAAACCGGGACCTCGGGCCTCACAGCCTGTAGCTCACAAAGTTGGGCTGGAGTGGGCTGCCCTTCAGTCCCCCATTGTTGGAGAGAACCATGAGCAGAGCACAGGAAGAGAAGAGAGTCAGAGGGAAGAAGGAGAGACAGCCGATCCAACTGAGATGGCTGGTGTGGCGGTGCATGTCTGTAGTCCATGGGATCACAGGGAGGCTGAGGCAGGAGGATCGCTGCAAGTGTGAGGCCTGCCTGAACTACATAGTGGGACCCTGTCTTAGAAAACCAGGAAAGAACAAACCGAGCCCAAATGACAAAAACCACTGAGGTGGCCAAGTCAGAGCCTGGGAGAGACAGGCGTGTTCTCAGGAGAAAGAAAAACACAGAAGCTGAGACAGGGAGAGACTGCGATGAGGTGGAAAGAGACAAACGGAGAGAGGTAAACAAGAGAGAAACCCTGACCAAGAGCCAGGCGGAGTGGGAGTCAAGAAGACAAAACCAGAGATGGCAAAAAGAGCCAGCAGGAGAAGGGTGGGGAGAGGAAGGGCAGAGAGCACAAGAGAAGTCTCCTGCCAAGGCTTGGCGCCCAGTGCTCTCCAAACTCCTCGGAATTCCAGCGCTGACGCTGGGGGATTGAAGCCCGTTCTCTTTCGGGTCAGGACGAGCAAGCGAGCGAGCGTGCTGCTCCATTACTGCTGGCATTCCCTGTGCCCTGGACGCCGGCCAACAGGAAATTCCTGGGACAAGTCTTTCCACTCACAATTTTTCCAACTTTTATTTACTTACTTTAATTTTTTTTTTTGCATGGATTGAAAAAAAGCAAGAGGGGAAAAAATAAAAAAAAAGATGCACCTGGTTTTGTTTTGGTTTTTTTTTTTTTTTTTTTTTTTTTTTTTTTTTTTTTTTTTTTTTTTTTTTTTTTTTTTTTTTTTTTTTTTTTTTTTTTTTTTTTTTTTTTTTTTTTTTTTTTTTTTTTTTTTTTTTTTTTTTTGGTAGCGCATCCAGCAAGAGCCCGAGGTGGGCCAGGGCCGAGTCTGGTCCATTGTGTGGACCCGGTGTCCTCCCCGGGGATTTATGACCTCACGCTCCCGTGACAGTGACATCACAGTGCGTTGCCATGGGCTCTGCTTTATTGTCGTAAACAAAGGGCTGTTCCTTGGGACCGGGGCTATCTGAGCAGGAGGGGAAAGAATTCTATGTGCAATGTGTTTTCTTGGGAAGGCAGCTTGTTCGGAAGTCTGAAAAGCTGCGGAAATCATCGTACGTACAGTTCCCTCTGCGTGGCCCTGCGGCCTCCAGACCAGGGTCAGGCCGGGGACGACAGCGATGAGGTCAGCTCCGCACAGGAAGCCCTGGGCCCGGTCACTGCTCCAGACGAGGCCTTCAGGCAGTCACGGAAGTGCTCTGAACACCTGGACACTAGGTGCAGGAGAGACAGAGGCGCCAGCCCCGCTGCTTCGGGATCTGCAGTCCTTAAGGACAGGGGTGTTGTGACTGTGTCACGTTGGGTCTGGGTTACACGAGCTGATGGAAGCAAACAGGAAGCCAGGATGAGAAGGAGCGAGGGAGGAGGCCACTGCGATGAGGACCCCCAGGAGGGCGTCTCTGTGGAGGTGAGGATTTAGCCCACGCCTGCGGGCAGAGGGAGGATCAGCCAGGAAGAGCACCCGCCACCCCGGGCAGAGGGGCCGTGGGCATCTGTCTGTCTCAGTCCGTTCCCGTTGCTGTAACTCAGTCCCACAGACTGGGCATTTGTTTGTTGGTGACAGGCTCTTGCTGTGTAGCCCATGCTGGCCTCAAACTTGTGGAGGTCCGAGCTGTTCCTAAGGCACGTAGCCACGGCCAGTGCTTGGAAGGACAAAGTTACTGCCCCACTGTCACTGTCGATGCTCCTTGCGATTTTGAAACAAGGCGCCCCCGTTTTGCCCTGGGCCCCACAAATTGCATAGCCAGCCTTGCTGAGTATCTTATGGGGCAAATGTGGCTTCCTCTCCCTCCCTCTCTGCACCCTGAGATCCCTGGGATCCATCTCTGCGTCCACCCAACCTGTACTCCTCACAGTTGTTCACCCCGGGCAGGGATGGGCAGCTGGTGGGGCCACTGCCATTACCCCCCAGACCCCCCAATGCCCTAAGAACAGCGGCCAGCTCAGAGAGCCTCTGGAGCTGCTCTCGAAGGAAGCTGTCCCCACTCAACCTGGCCCCTGGCTGGGCCCCCAGAGTCAGGTCTTTTCGGCATGGCAGGGAAAAGGGTGCAGCCAGGGGAGCCCGCAGCATATGGGGGCCTATGACCTCATCAGGGTGCCGGCTCTGAAACAGCAGCAGGGAGATGCAGCACGTGTAATTTCTCTATTTGGAGCCGGGGAGGGGCAGTGTTCTCAAGCTGGCAAGGCTGGGGGATGCTAGTCTCAAAGTGCAGGCTGTGGCCAGAGTGGAAGGTACATGAAGCCCAGCAGCAGCTGGTACTCAGTTCAAAGGTTACGGTACAGTGATGGCCAAGAGTGTTTGTATCTAGTAAGCAGGCAGCATGGGGAAGGTGAGACACGACTTTAGTTGAGCACCTACTACATGCCGGGCTCTGTGCTTGACCAATGTGATGGGAAAGTGGCTCCAGGCCTCTTTGCAAGTGGGTTTGGATGTTTTGGGCTGTGGACTTGTATGTCATTCCTTTTTCCTATCTCTCTGATGTCCCTTACTTTATTTGTAATTATTAAAAAATGGGCGAAATTTATATAAAAATTAACCACGTTAGCCAAGCATGGTGGCTCACACTCATAACCCCAGTGCTCTGAAAGGCTGAGGCAGGAGAATCTCCAAGTTTGAGACCAGTCTGGTCAACTTAGAGATTTAGTGAGATCCTGTCTCAAAATAAAAAATGAAAAGGGCTGGGGATGTAGCTCAGTGCAAAGGCCCTGGGTTCAACCCCCAGTACCAGGAAACAATAATAATAAAATAATAATAACCATGTGAAAGCGGATGCCTCAGTGGCCTGTGGTGCATTTCCAGTGTTGTGCAGTCTCCCCCTGCCACCCGGGAAGGACACCCACCCACTGCTCCTGGACCTCCTTCTCCCCTGCTGTGGCCCTGGGCAAGTATTAATGTGCTGTCTCTCTCAGTGGCGTCCCCTGTTCGGGGCCTGTCCCTTTGGTCCTGCGTGTCCAGGCTCACTTGGTACTTTGCTCCTTTTTACTGTTGAATTGTATTCTACTCTGCGGCTTTGTCACGTTTTATTTACCTTACCATTAACTGATAGATGTCTGAGTTGTTTCTACTCTTTGGCTTTTGGGTAATACTATGTACAAATTTATGTTCCACATAACTTTCCGGATCTCTTGGAGTGGAGTTGCTGGGTCAGATGAGATGGTGGTTGTATATTGAACTTTTGTGGGCAGTCGCTAGGCCTCACACATGCTGGGCAAGTGTTCTACCAGAGCTACATCCGCAGCCCTCTTTATTTTATTTTGAGGCTGGGTTTTGTTAAGTTGCCCAGGCTGGCCTCCAACTTGCGATCCTCCTGCCTCAGCCTCCCAAGTAGCTGGGGTGTCAAGGTATGTGTCACCCCATCTGGCTAAATGGAACTTTTTGAAGAACCCAAGCCACTTTCTATAGCCGCCGCACCATGTTAAATTCCTCCCTGCAGGGGACACGGTTCGGACTCCCCCACATTTGCATGGTGCTGGTGATTTTTCTGGTTGTTTGTTTTGCGATCACTGGGTTTTCACGGGGGCGGAGGTGGGTCCATGTCTGCTACTGGTGCTTAAGCCTAAGCGATGTCTTCCAGATTTATACAGCAGAGGCCCATGAAAAGCAGTTTGTAGGAAACACTGGTCACAAGAACACCTCATAAGGGGAGAAGCCGCTCCTGGCCGAATGGTTCCCAAGGGCCCGGTGATGATACTTGTAGCACCACCTGCTCCCATTGGCACAGCCACAGGGAAGGGGACCTGGCTGTGTGTGAATTTGGAGAGAGTTGGGTCACCTGCACCCACTGGGCGAGACAGCCTGCTCCGCTAGGTCACTGATGGCCTGTGTGGGTGGCAGGGGCTATGCCGGGCCAGGGTACCAGAACTCGGCCTGAGAAGGGCCGATCGTGGCTTCCCAGAAGCCCCTGTGGCAGGCTTTCCCACGGTGGGATCACATGACTACCAGTGAGCCAATCACAGGCCAGGGGGGATGGAAATCTGGTACCTGGCATCATTATTCGGGTAGAATAGATGTTGGGGACATGGGACAGAGACAGGGTCAACCATAAGGTACAGAGGTATAGTTTAAACCAAGAGGTGTCCTCTTTTTGACTTTTGAATAGTTTGGAATGTGTAGCTGAAAAAAGGTTGCCCTGTAGACCTCAAGCTCAGCCATCACCACCTGATTTTCTTTTTTATATTTGTTTATTTATGGTACTGGGGATTGAACCCAGTGCCTATTTGCACTAAGCTACATTCCTTTTAAAAAAAAAAAAACCCAAAAAACAAGTGGGCCAGGCATTTAGCTTGGTGGTTCCACTGCCTGCCTCACAAGAGCAAGGTCCTGAGTTTGGTCCCCATCCCCCACTCAAATCTTAGGTTGCTAAATTGCCCGTCCTTGGCTCCATCCTGTAATCCTGTATCAGTTTCCCAGAGAGCTGGGGTGATAGGCATGTGCCACTATATCTGATTTATTTGCATTTCTTTGAGACAGTGTCTTGCTATGTTGCCTGGCTTTACTCAAACTCCTGGGGTCAAGCAATCCTCCTGCCCCAGCCTCCTAAGTAGGTAGGGTTATAAGTGTATGCCTCTGTGCCTGGCTTGAAGGAATCATTTTTTTTCCTCCCTTCCCTTCCCTTCCCTCCCCACCCCCCCATCCCCTCTCCTTCCTCCTTTTCTTCCTTTCTTCCCTCCTAGGGTGCCGGGGGCCTCAAGCACGCTAGACATCTGCTCTACTCCTGCGCTACATGCCCAGCACCCATGTTTCTCTTTACCTGTGGTTTCCAGCACCTGACACCGTCTGCCTTCTATCTGGGCACAGTGACCCTGTGTGTCTGTCTGCTCTAATCAGGTCACCTGGCTCAGAGTCAGGGCAGGGCCCCCCCCATGGCGCTCCTGATCGTGTGTCACTTGCGCCAGCCTTCCCCGGCTGCCTGCAGGGCCACTCAGAGCAGCCTCAGTGCACACTGACCCGCTGGTCAGCAGTTCTGTGCCTGGGGCCGCGGGGCCAGGGCCTCCTGGATCTGCTCTCTGTCCACGACCATCAGTTGGTCTTTGCCATGGCTCCAGCATCACTGGCCAATATAGCAGGGCCTGGCCGAGCTGTCCGAGGAGGAGGAGGATGGAGGGCCCCCCACGCAGTGAGCACAGCAGGAGGTGGGGGGGCAGGGGCCCAGGCCGAGCACAGTGGAGGTGAGGTTTTTGGAGGAGGGAGAGGGGAGGATGACGGAAAGAAGAAAAGGGGGTGGAGGGAGGAGAAAGAGAGAGAGAAAGGGGGTGGCAAAGGGACCTCATTTTATAATCTGGTCTGCGTCCTGGTGCCTGCTGCTGTGCCTGCTTTTGCACCTGTTATTGGCATGAGCAGGGCAGAACTGGCCTAAAAAATGAACGAGAGAGAAATTCCCAAGAGGGAGGAGAGAGAGGAGGAAGAAAGCCACTCAGCAGGGCGGAAGAGCCAGTGACTCTGACAAGCACCTACTGCTTTGCCTTTTTTTTTTTTTTCCTTCTGGTACTGACAGTTGAACCTAGGATCTTCATGCTGAGCTACACCTCTGGCCCTTTTCAATTTTCTTCGATCAGAAACATTGTCTTGCTAAGTTGCTAGTTGCCTAGGCTGGGCTCAGACTTGTGATCCTCCTGCCTCAGCCTCCCAGAGTGCTAGGAGCACAGGCATGTGCCACCTCACCTGCTTTTGTTTGCCTTTATACACTCACGGCTGTGGTCTGAATATTTGTGTCCTTCCCCAATTCAGCTGTTGAAATCATAGTCCCGATGTGTGGGTATTAAGAGGTGAGGGGTGCAGGGGGTGGTTGGGTGCTGACAGTGGATCCCTCCTGAGTAGGCCAGAGGCTGCAAGAAGGTGCGGTCTATGGACTCGGCCCTCCCCAGCACCAAATCTGAGGAAGCCTTCATCCTGACTTCCAGGCGGCCTCCGAGCTGTAGCAGCACATTTCTGCCGTTCAGAAATCACCTCCTCTTAGGAGTTTTGTTGTAGCGGCATGAGTGGACTAAGACACTCATCAGTTGCAGCGCCTGGAATTCCACGGGGGCTCCATTAGGGCTCATCTTGCTGAGCTGAAAGACAAGGAGAGGAGGGACAGCAGAATGGGGGAGGAGGAGGACGGCAGGGGAGAGGCCAAGGTGGGGAAGGGAAGAGGAGGGGAGTGGGAGATGGCAGGACAGGGTGCAGGGGGAGGAGGGAGGGTGGGAACAGGCAGGCTGTGGGAGCAGGCGCATCCTTTTGATGAAAATGCACATTAGCAAACGTGCTAGGCTCTGACAAGCGCCAACAGGCCCACGGAGGAGTTAAAAAGCGCTACATCTGTCAGGGTTTCAATTTTTAAGTCAGCACCTTCCTTCTTCCCATGCTGGGATTCTGCAACTGGGTGTCCACTGCCCGCCCCCACCCCACTGCCTGTCACGGAGCCGTCAGGCTGCCAGGGAGCCCGCAGGGGCCAAGAGGGGACCCGTGGGGGTCTGTGCCAGGGGGAGCCGCAGCCCCTCCCCAGCAATGTCAGGGGGTCCTGTGGGCCAGGGCACAGGAGAATGGACGGTGCTTTCAGCTCACACTAGGTCTTCCGATACATGGAGCTCTGAAGGGGACCCAGCAGTGACCCCCGGATCACGTCCAGCCCCCTCAGAGTGGACTTACTTGGAAATAGGCTCTTCGCAGGTGTCATTCGTCAAAGCTCTTGAATTGCAATAGTCCCAGGTTTAATGTGTGCTCTGTAGCCAAGGACTGGTAGCCTTTGAAGAGGAGAAGGAAACAGAGAGACGCAGGAGAGCGGGGCTGGGTGACCACAGAGGTGGGGTAGACGATCTCGCAGTGGAGTGAACGATACTGAGGACACAGCAGGCACCAGAGGCTGGAAGGGGCCAGAAGGACCCTCAGCCAGAGCCTCCGCAGGTGACCCAGCCCTGTGCCTGTACCTTGATCCGGAATGGGTAGAAAAGAGGACAGGAGGAAGCACAGAAAGGGGTGCAAGAATGAACTTCTGCCATTTGCACCATTTGTAGGGCAGCCTGGGCCACAGACAGTGGCCCTGAAACTCCACAGTCACTCACGCTGTCACGATGGCTGTGGATATGGGACTCAGCACCTGAGTCGGGCAGGACCACAAGGGTTAGGGGCTGGCTGACAGGTGACGGCTTCCGATTTCATGATGTCAGTTACTCCCTTGCTTCCTTTCTTCCTTTCTTTTGTTTGGTACAGGATTGAAGCCAGGGTTTTTGCAGTGAGCTACATCCTCATCCTTTTTAAATTTGAGATAGAGTCTCACTAATTCACTAAGTTACCCTGGCTGGACTCAAACTGGTGATCCTCCTGCCCCAGCCTCCCAGAGTGCTGGGATTAAAGGTCTGAGCCACCACATCCAACTTCAATAACTTTTCTATGGGATTCTTGCCTGTTCTAAGATCTCTCTGCTGATGAGGGCTGATGAGGTAGCCCCGAGCGGAGGAGATTGTCCTTACCTGGCTTGGAATGTTGTATGTGTCAAAGAAAGAGGACTGTTGCCCTCAAGCAAAATTAGGAGACTGGACAGCAGTGTGTACAGTGATTAGGAAGTCATGCAACCACATTATCAGCAGTGATGAGGAAGTCATCCAGTCTGACCGAGGTCATGCCTTATGAGGTGTCATGGAGGAAGGGGAGTGGGTGACCAACTTGCCTCTGTTTGCCTGGGACTTGCTTGGATTTAGTGCTGGAAATTCCATGTCCTGAGCAATCAGGATGCTAAGAAGAGGCAATTTCCTCTAGGTACCTGAAGAACTCATTCATCCATCTATCCATCCATTTAAACATCCATCCATCCATTCATCTACCCAACCATCCATCCATCCAACCACCTATCCACCCACCCACCCATCCATCCACCTACCCATCCATCCATCCATCCATCCACCCACCCATCCGTCCACCATCCATCCACCCATCCATCTACCCATCCACCCACCCATCCACCCATCCATCCATCCATCCACCCATCCATCCGTCCACCATCCATCCACCCATCCATCCACCCATCCACCCACCCATCCACCCATCCACCCATCCATCCACCCATCCATCCACCCACCCACCCATCCATCCGTCCACCATCCACCCACCCAACCATCCACCCATCCATCCATCCACCTATCCACCCATCCATCCACCCATCCATCCATCCATGCACCCACCCCCCCCCCCATCCACCCACCCATCCATCCACCCATCCACCCATCCATCCGTCCACCATCCACCCACCCA